GCGGTGCGTGATTTGGGGCCCCCTGGGGCAGAGCATCTGGGGCCCTGCCGGGTTGGTCCCGCAGCCCCGAGGGGCAGCGCTACGAGACCAACCCGGCAGCACCCCAGCTGCTCTGCTCCCGGTTCCCCGATTCAGCTGCTGGTCAGTTTCAGCAGCAGCTGAATGGGGGAAGCCTGTCCGGCTGCCCCAGCACTTCCGGGTTCCTGATGGTGCCGGACCATCAGGAGTCCGGGAGCATTGGATGCCAGACTAATGGAGTTTTACTGTAGTTGCACCCAGGTACACTCCCAGGCACTCCATGTAGACAGTCTGTGGCAGCAGGAAAGCTTATCTCACCAACATATCTATTTCCTCTTGAGGAGGCAGATTAACGACACCAATGGGACAGTTCTCTCCTATCAACCTAGAACATCTTCATTCAAGTGCTAAGAAAATACATGCCCTGAAAGATAGCACTTCAGATACCACAATGACAAGCACAGGATAGCAACTTACAACATAGCAGTGAGACATTGGTTCAATTACAAGGAACAGCACCATCTATTATTGACAGTTCATCCTTTGAAATCTATCAAATAAGAACTGACCTGTCTCAATACTTTGTGAATGCTGACAGGCTCAAAGCACAAGCAATATGGCTGCAGGATATCCCTACTTATCACTACAAGGGCACCTGTACTAATTACTCAAATTATACTTCACTTAAATTAGCAATAAGGGAGCTGAACAAACTACATTTTAAAAGTTAGAAGCCTAAGGGGGAAGAATACGTAGTCATTAACATGGATGCACAAAAAAATAGCAGGAAAGCAAAAGTATTTTATACGAAGTACTAAGGGGCTGCACTCTCTCTGGGGGTAGGCAGCCCTCGTCCCAGCCCTCAGCCCACCTCCTGCCACCCTCCCCATCGGGGAGGGCCGGGGCCACGCCAGCCCCAGTCTCTTGGCCTCCTACCCACTCGACCGCCAGGGAGGGCCAGGACCACACCAGCTCCAATCTCTCGGCCTCCCCACAACTCTCCGACTACCGAGGAGGGCCGGGGTCATGCCAGCCCCCATCTCTTGCCCCCGCAGCCGCCAAGAAGGGCTGGGGCCAAGCCAGCCTCAGTCTCTGGTCCCCATCTCCCTTCCCCTCCCACTGCCAAGGGAGGGCCAGGGCTGAAGCCACACCAGCCCAGTCTCTTGCTCTCCCGCCGGCAAGGGCCAAGCTGGGAGTGGGTGGGACTTGGCTCCTATGGATGCAGAGTGAAGTGATGACATCACTCTGTTGTCCCGCAGGAAAAATGTTTTTATAACTATAGAGAGATTACATAAATATTCCCGTTTATTCTTCTAAAAATTTAGATTATGCTTGATAGTAAAAAATTCTACTCTTAAAAAAATTAACTGCAGGCTGCCCTTCTGCTAAGAGGATCATATAAACCAATTTTAAATCTCATTGCAATTTGCAAAATTGACAACACATAGAAATTGGACACATGGACTAAAGGCAAAAAGAAAACTGACATTTTTCTATGGTTATACAATCTGTAGCATGTGTTAATATCACCAATTAATCAACACATTATTATATTTAACTGCATGTTCAAAGAGACTTAATTATGTATCCAGTTGTTCTTTAAACAAAGCAGTGCCAATTTCATAAAGTGGCTCTACATATCCTGAATAAGTAGCCACTGTAATGCTTTTCCTGCTTACAAAACATGCCGATCAAAAACTCTTCAAGCATGCATGATAAAAATATAGAAAGTTTAAAATCTTTTACT